TATCACCCACATAAAGCTATAGGTGTAGGGAAGAAAATCAACCTTTCACTTCCTACCCCTTCAGTACTGCCACTGCTGACAGAGTCTGTTGTTTTTGAGGTTTTGCCAATTGGAGTCTAAGTTAGCTTAAAATTTTTTGTTCTGTGAGACTGCTGCTTCCAGAAGTTGATTGCAGGAGTTAGTTTCCTCTGCTCAAGGTCATACTTCCTGATGTAATGAAGTATTTCAGTACATTTGGCACTTCTGTTGAAATCTTTCCAACTAAAATTTGTTGTTCCTATATTATCAGACACATAGGGTTACTCTTCCCAATTCACTTCCCAATTCATGAGGTATCATGAATTGCATTTTAAATCAAATGTTTATGTGAAGTTTATAATGCCTACCTCTACATACTTATTAATGGTAGGTTTCAACTTGTACTTTGAATCATCCTACAAATCATTAGGGGATTTTTTCTGGACTACACTTCTTGTGTACTCCCAACCTAAAGTTTTGAACAGTGAGAGAACCTTTGAAAACTCGAGGATTCAGGGACTGAGCAGGGCACCGGCCGAACACTGCTAATCCTGTCAAGTGAGCAAAACAACTGCAACCATTTACTGAGTGTGATTTATGTGCCAGGCCCCAGACTAATGTTTTATCTTCAGTTTTATTTAATCCTCACAGGAAAGGCTTTACTTTGCAGAGATTTATCACCTCTATTTTATAAATGATGAAGCTGAGATCAAGCCAGGTGTCTGAGTTTACAAAGCTAGTAGGTGGTACAGCTAATGGGGTCAAAGCCGGCTAAGATGATTCCAAAACCCATACTCTTTCGCACACTGTAATGCTTTCCTCAGGGCAGAGGTCACCAATTGGCCCTGGACTGGTCCCAGGTAAAAGCCTGGGTTTAGTTCCCCTGAAGAGCAGTCCTAAAATAGTTGAAAGGTTAATTATTAACTCAAATATGGAATGAATCTAAGACAAGCAGCAAAAAGTAAACATAATGGGAAGCTTATCATTCTACAGGCAATCTCTCTTCAGAGAGGTGTCCTCTCCTACTTCCATCTTTGATAAATTTCCAGCAAACAAACAAAATCAGCATCCTTTCCATTGTGTTGGCTTTGGGCACACACTTTATTGCATTTAATGTTGTATACAACCATTTCCCAAACTATACATGTGTACTCCTTTTAATCCTCAAAGTCCCAGGGCCTACCACATAGTAGGCAACAAAAAATACTTGATCTTCAAAGCACGGCCACTCATGCATCCATAATCCTTTTTTACAGTATGAAAGGTTGATATTTAGGCCCCTCGTGTATATTTTAAGGAATGTAATTCCCAAAAAGCTCTTTTTTAAGAGGTGAGAAACAGCTTGTGTTTGTTCCCCTTCAAAATCAAGATAACATTCAGGTGAGTGTGTTAGCCATAATTGTTTTACCTTGGTTTTCATTTTTAATGAGTATGAAATGAAAGACAAATACCAAATCATTTGCCTGCACACCACTGACTTCTTTTTCCCTCCATTTTCTGTCTTTATGGAAGCAAAAGATTTATTCTAGTTCTCACCATATGTAAGAGCCCTGATCCACTGAACAATTTCTGATCCCGTTAAGAGCTTTTTACTTCAGTTTTTGTTATGTATAAAGGCTGTGTGTCTAGACCCAAGATCATCCACTATCTTCTCTTCTATCTCTATGCCTTTTTCTA